GGCCCTAGCTACTCTTTTGTTTTTTGCTTGTTTGTTTTTTGAAATAGGGTCTCCCTGTAACCACAGCTGGCCTGGAACTCACAATGTATACCAGGGCTGCCTCTGCCTCCCAAGTGCTGAGATTAAAGGTGTGCTCCACCACACATGGAGCCCACAGCGACAAGTACCTAAAGAAGAGGGGCAGCCTCATGTGCTCCTCCCACTAGCTGCTGTCAAGTGCCTACAAATGCTGAGGGGAGGAGCCTCTCGAGCCCTGCCCCCTAGCTCTGTTAACAGCCCATAAACCCAGGAAGTGTGAGACCTCATGAGTCTGTCCCCCTGGATTCTGTACAGAGCCTATCAATTCTCACTGAGGCTTGGGGTCTCATCAGTCCCTAACTGTAGCTACTATTAAGAGCCAAAAGTTGCTCATAGAGGTACAAGGCTTCATCACAATCCTCAGGGAGGGGCGGGGCCTGATAAGACCCATCCCCCAGCTATTCTTAGGAGTCTATAAATGCTCTGCCAGGTGCAGGGGCTCATTAGTTCCTCCCCCTAGCTGCTGTGAAGCGTCTATAAATGCTCATGAGTCCCTCCCCCTAGCTACTGTCAAGAACCTATAAGCCTTCAGGGAATGGGTAGGTCCTTACAGTTCCTCCCACTAGCTACAGTTAAGTGCCTATCAATCCTGTGGGAGGGGCAAAGTCTCATGAGAAGGCTCCTCCTAGCTGTCAAGTACCATTAAATGCTCAGGGAGGGGCAAATGTTCCTGAGTTCAGTCCCCTTGGTACTGTTAAGAGTCCATAAATCCAGGGCTGGAGAGATGGTTCAGCAGTTAAGCGCACTGGCTGCTCTTGTAGAGGGCCTGGATTCGATTCCTAGCACAAGAATCCATGCCACTAGCTACTATTAAGTGTCGAACAATCCTTGGGGAGTTATGGGGTCTCATGAGACAGGTCCTCAGACACAATTAAGAGCCACAACATGCAGGCCTGGAGAGATGCCTCAGTGGTTAAGAGCCGTATCTCCTGGGTTCAATTGGGCTCACATGGTGGCTAACAACTGTCTGTAACTCCATTTCCAGGGGATCCAATGCCCTCTTCTGACCTCTGAGGTCATGCATGACACAGGTACATTTATACACATGCAGGCAATAGACTCACACAAATAATTAACAGAACAATTATTTGTTTTTTTTTTTTTTTGGTCCTTTTGAGACAGGGTCTCCCTGTAGCCTTAGCTGTCCTGGAACTCGCTATGTAGGTCAGGCTAGCCTCGAACTCACAGAGATCCACCTGCCTCTGCCTCCTGAGTGATGGGACTAAAGGTGTGTGCCACAACGCCTGGCAACAACAAAATCTTTTTTAAAAGAGCCATAACATGCACTGGCCTCGTCAGTCCTGCCCTCTAGCTACTGTTAGGTACCTGGAAATGTTCAGGTAGGTCATGGACCCCTGAGTCCCTCTCCCCTGCTACATTAAAGTGCCTATAAATGCTCAGGGAGGTGCAGGACTTCATGACTATGTAAAATGCATTTAAATTCCCATGGAGGGGTGGGGCCTCCTGAGACCCTCTCTCTAGCTACTGTCAAATGCCTATCAATCTTCAGAGAGGGGTGGGGCCACTAGCTACAGTTAAATGCCTATCAAACTTCAGGTAGGGGCAGGGCCTCATTAGGTCCCCCCATAGGTACTGTTAACTGCCTAACAGTATTCAGGGTCTGGGTCTCACGAGATCAGTCCCCTAGGTTTTGTTAACAGCCTCTAAATGCCAAAGCAGTGACTAGGCCTCATGAGTCACTTCTAGCTACACTTAAGTGCCTATGAATCCTAAAGGAGAGGTGCTGCCTCATGTGTCCCACCTCCTAGCTACCATCAAGTGCCTATAAATGCTTGGAGAGGGGTAGGGCCTTGTGAACCCCACCTAGTAGCTATTGTTAAGAGCCTATTAATGTTCTTCAAAATGTGAGGCTTCACCAGTCCTTCCTACTAGGTATTTAAGTGCCTGTCAATCTTCAGGGAGGGGCGGAGCCTGATGAGACTCCTCCCCCAGCTACTCTTAGGAGCCTGTAAAAGCTCAGGCAGGGGCTCAATAGTCCCTCCCCTCACTGCTGTGAGGTATCTATAAATGCCCATGAGAGTCTCACCCTAGCTACTGCTAAGTGCTTAACAATCTCCAGGGAGGGTCAGGGCTTCATCAGTCTCTCGTTCTCACTACTATTAAGCGCCTATCAATCCTCTGGGGGGGGGAGTCTCATGAGACCCTTCTCCTAGCTACTGTTAAAAGCCTATAAATCCTCAGGTAGATATGTGGCCTCACAGTCCCTCCCACTAGCTCCTATTAACTGCCTATCAATCCTCAGGGAGGGGTGGGGTCTCATGAGACTGGTCCCCCAGCTAATAATGTTCAGAGCCTTTGAATGTTTAGGCATGAGTCCCTTGTCCTAACTACTATGAAGAACCTATAAATCCTCAGGGAGGGCCTGGGTCTCCTGAGTTTCTTCCACTCTATAACAGGATGTAGCTAGACTATCCCAGTCTTGTGTAGTCCTGTACCAGTCTAGATTACATCATTATTGATATGTATGTAGTAGGGCAAGTTTCTTCCTCAACAGTCTCCTCTAAAATTGTTTTGGTCATTTAAAAAACTATCTTGCCTTCATCAAGGTCAGGCATGCATTATTGGGCTGTATATTCTTTTGTCTCTTAGCAAAGCATTGTGTTTTGAGTATAGTAGGTGGCCAGCAATTGGCTACATGCTTTCCAGGTCTCATGAGTGACTAATCATTTAACTTTTAAGTGGTTAGTTCATTCTTTCAAGTTTACATTATATAATTTAGAAAATCCTATGTGATTTAACTTTAATCTCCTTATGAGATAATGTTCTAGAGAAGCAGATCTTTAAGAACATCTCGTGTACTTAATCTTACTTCTATTATCAGCTTCATCCCTGTGCACTGCAATCATTAGCTTCTGTTTCTGGCTGCCCCCGCCAGCCTGGTGAGTTTTGTGGGTAGAGACTATCTCCTCCTAATCCTTGTATTCTCTCAGTGCAGGACACACAGAAACACTCAGTATTTTGTAGAAGAAAATACAAAGTTCCCAGGGACGTTGATTTGTGTAGGAACACTACAGTCAGTAAAATACATATGGAAGACAATTTTCTGTTTTGAGTAAATGCCAACAGATCATAATATAGAGCAGTAATTGTCTGAAAGTAAAAGGCTCTACCAAAGAATGAGTATTTCTGTTTGTCTGGGTTCCATTTGCTAAACCCTAAAAGTATAGGAGGGATAAACACTTTATAAAATGTTCCAGTGAGGTCCCTTCAAATCTGCCTTGTCAGCAAAACAAAATAAAACAAAAAATTCAGGCAAAAAAGCCCCAAACCAAATGACTTGTCACACAATCACTATTATTTTTTCATAGTCAAAAATGAATTGCTCAAAGTTCCTTGAACTTCAAGAATGTCTCAAAGTACAAATGGATGAGAAGTGGTTGTATAATCTGTCTAGAAACTGTCAACACTTCTCACAGCTAATGACTGAGAAAAAGCCAGGACAAATGCACAAAGAGCTTACAAACACTGTTCATCTGAGATCTGCCTCCCAAGTTCCGGAATGTCAGTTGTGAGCTCCCGTGCTTGGCTTCCGTTTCTTTGAATTGGAAAAGGAATATGCCTTCTGTAATAGCAGTTAGAAGCCTGAGAAAACCCCTATGATCTTTACTTGATCGTAAATGCCAGAGGTGCTGTTAAGCCAGTTCCCCCAAAGTGCTTCTCATCTCTAATTCCAAAGCAAATAAGCAAGAGTTCTCAAGCTTTGGAACCTGTCACTTTCCAGAACACACATTTTAGCAGTGACCAAAACTACACAAGCCTTTCATGTAAGCAGCAGAGACTTTGGAATAAGGGTGTGAGTTTGAAATGGGAAATTCCCCAGTGAGAAGGAGCACAGGCTGGTGCATGGCCAGGGCCTGTGTGGAGAAGCGAGTGAGGTCCAAAGCAGCCCTCATCCCTGCCACGCCAGGCTATTGCTGGTGGGAGTCTAGCTGAGTTTTGCACAAGGCTGAGCCGTGTGAGTAGGCAGTCAACCACCCAAACCACAGAGAAATGAGCAAAGCTTTTACCAAGACCCCTGGAAACAGTTCCTAAGGCTCACAGCAAATCAATGTGTGGCAGCAGTTCGCCCCTGAGCTCTTAAAAATAGGCTGGGTTTTCCTCTGATTTGGGTGCAAAGGTGAGAGAATGAAAAGCCTGTATCTTTACTTAACTGGGGATTTTCACTTCAAAAATGTGTTTCCATAGATGACTGGTAAATGAACAGAGAAACTTACTATATATACACTGGCAGATCTGGAATCTTTATTTTACATATAGAGCTATTCAGTAAAAAGTCCACTGATGCCAGCTCACCTGGCACATACATCTTAACCAGAGGGTAGAAGATGTTTTCTCACCTTGAAAAAATCACTTAAGTTTAGTCAATGCAGAGAAGTTTTTTTGAGACAGGGTTTTATGTATCCCAGGTTGGCCTCAAATTCACTATGTAGCAGAAGCTGTCTTTGAACTTCTGATCCTACCTCCACCTCCTACCGCTAGGTGATTATGAGGAGAGCTTTCAAATGTTGTGTATATCTCGTGTGAAGTACTTTAAATGATGAAAACTTAGAAACTTTCTAGAGCTTTAAATCAGCTTACATTACAGTTAAAAATTACAGCACTCACTCTGGCAGAGGAATTTAAGTTTAACTTCAAAACACAGTTTAGCAATTCAAAACAATTTTAAATTAGGGTTGTGTTTAAAAGCAAGTATTTCTTTAATTATTGTGTTTTTCTTCAAAATGTTAAAAAGCAAAACAAAACAAAACGCTATCATAGCGAATAGCAATCTGTAAGGTGGGCTGTAGCTACTTAGTCACTTACCTGTTGCTTGATTCTGGGATTCCATCTAAAAACAAAACAAAACGCTATCATAGCGAATAGCAATCTGTAAGGTGGGCTGTAGCTACTTAGTCACTTACCTGTTGCTTGATTCTGGGATTCCATCTAATGTAATAATTCACCCACAATTCCAAGTGGCGCATACTGGCAACAGGATATAAAACTCGATTGATTTCTTTTGTGTAAAAGGGGTTTTTGAACTTTTCTTTATTGCTGTTAATCAGTGACCACACAGAAACTGTTCTTTCTGTAACTTTCTACAGAGAGAGAAAGTAAAAAAGCTAGGTGAATATAGACTCACAAACCATTTGTGGCAATATGGTTCAGCATTAGCTTGAATGACACATTTACATTAGCTTCCATAATAACTCAAAAAGCATCGTGGGCCACCGAGTGCTTGCAGCCACTTACTGATATTTGCATAGATAATTGCATAGCTTAAGAGCTACTATTTCTGTGGGAAGTTGGGGGCGCAGGATGCTGCACCATTAAATGTAATTCAGTGACCTACAAAGACTATTCTTGGCTAGGCAAAACATTTAGGGACAAATGGGCGGTACAATCTTTCTAATTCCATGAAAAGAAAAACTAGGAGATCCCACTGAGTTTCAATTTTTTTTCTAATTTGAGAGAAATATGGAATTTTAAGCTGTTTGACAGCAGACATTTGGACAGTTATTTTAATCATTCATCGGGATTTTTAATCTGCATCATACCAACATCCAGATATTTGAAACCACCTACATAACTGCCTGCACCAAGTCTTCAGTTTTGAACTGGTGTCCATGTTCCCACAAAACATTTACATGCTTGTGGTTTCTTATTACTCATATTTTTACAAAGCTTGGAAATAAAAATTATAAAAATTAAATTACCGAGGTCAGAATTTGAAACTTTTTCAGCAATGACTTCAATAAAGGAGAAAGAAGCCAACGCTAAACACTGAGAAGAAAATCGCATGGGAAGGAGAAACACCTTGATTTTAACATGTTATTTTGTTAATGTGAATGACATACAATGACAGGACCGTTCACCTTCCTTCGAACCCACCTTATAAAGGTCATTTGTATCTTCCTGTTGCCAAAATCCATACTGGATTGTGCTTAGTTGCACCTTTTATGTTTTTACATTTATACCGTACATAGTTTAAAAGTCAAATGGCTTGATGGTTTGTTTCAAACAAAAGCAGCTTTAGACTTTTTCCGGCTTTTTAAAGGAGTGACTGACAAATATAAATCAACCTATTTAAGGCTTACAACATATTTTTATGATTCACTTTTAGTTTTGAAAATACTGATTGATTGAGGACTGATTGATACAGACTCTCATCATGTTATGCAGGCTGGCTACAAGTTCCCAGAATCAAAGGTCCTCCTGCCTTAGCCATCTCAGTAGCCAGAGCCACAGGTGAGCAGAACCCCATCCAGCCAACAGGATACTGCTACATAAATAAAATAGGAAATGGTCACAACAATCAGGTTAGCAAACATATGGGTCACCCCACATAGCTATCTTCTTTTCTTTTTGTGGTCTAAACACTTTAAATCTGTCCTTTTAATCATCTTGAAGCACACAGTAAGTACAGCATCATTACCTACAGTTATGGTGCTGTAAACTAGGTTTGTAGTAGTTTATTTTCTTGTTGCCAACAACAAATACCCGACAAGAAGCAACTTCAAGGAAGAAGGCTTTATTCTCGTTCATCTGTGGGGATATGGTCCGTTACAGCAGCAGGAGTGTGAAGAGACGGTTACACCATGCCAGCTGTCAGCAAAGCAGAGTGCACCAGAAGGTGGGTCCATCCCCCAGTGACCTACTTCCTCCATCTAGGGCCCACTTCTCAAAGCTTCCACAACCTCTCCAAACAGCACTACCATCTGGGAACCAAATGTTTACAACACATGAACCTGTGGGGGTACATTTCACATTCAAACCATCCCAGGTCTCCGGCAGCCACTCATCTTTCAGTGGAAACTGTGCCTCTTTTGACCACTACCTTCTCTTTTCCTTGGCTAAATACCCAACTCTCCATTCCTATAGGTTCAACTTCTGTGTGGATTCTCTACATAAGATCATCCAGTTGTCTTTCTGTGGCTGATTTACTTCCTTTAGTTCTCCAGTTCCAACTATGTTGCTCAAATTGCACAATTTTATTCATCTAGGCTGAATAATATCCCAATAAACAAAGGAGTATATCACATTTTCATTTCTGTTCATCTGTCCATGGGTATTTATGGTGATTCTACATTCCATATCTTGACTGCTATGAACAGTGCTGCTGTGAACATACTGACTTACAGCCTCCAAGTGCTCTACTACTAAGGTCTATATCCAGCTCATTTTTAATTTTTATTTTGCTTTTACAATTAAAAATGTATCTATTGTGTGTAATGTGTGAGTGTAGGCATGCACACACCGTAGAAGTCAGAGGACAACTTTGTGATCTTGGTTCTGAGGCTCACTCAGGTCACCAGGCTTGCCTAGCAACTACTGAGCCACCTCTCAGGCTCCTGATTGTTCTTAAGTTCTGACACAAGGTCTCATTAAGACATCAGGTTGGCCTTCATCTTGCTCTGCAGACCAGGCAGGCTTTGAACTTATGATCTTCCCCGCTTCAGTCTCCAGAGCAGCTGTGATTACAGGCCTGACTCACCAGGCCTGGCCGCGAGTGACTTCAGATACCAAATCAGCTGTGGGATTGTTGGGTCATAGGGTAGTTCTCTTCAGGAATCCATATACTGTTTTCCATAATGCCTTAAAGCAATTCGTAGTTGTAATACATTTATTTGGTACTTATCTCCAGTCCCCCAAAAGCATGCTTTCATTGCTACCCCACAGCTACCCAGTTGTAGGCATTAACTACTGGCACTATCACAATAAGAATGTCTTTCTTTCTCCCTTCCTGCCACACACAGAGCTTTTCTATTTTTTGCTACATATCCCCAATCTACAGAGAGGCTCTGATTAGCTCAGCTCTAGCTGCTCGATTCTGATGACTAAGCACATGCTATTTACAGCTGTGCTATGCCGTCTCTGTCCTGTGATTGCTTTCCTCTTCCTGTATTCATTTATTTTCTCTTGATTCCACAACTGTCTGTTTACTTTTCTTGGCATTTACTAACTTAACCCCAAGCTCTTGTCAATGTGTCTTCAAGAATCTCAAGCATATCAGACGACCCCAATGTCACTGCGAGGAACTCAACCTACTCCAGCTGTTCCTGTGTCCTGTGCCCAGCTCTCATCTACGATCTCTTTTCCTCCTTACTCGGTGCTGGAGCTCTCGCCTGGGAATTGTGTGCAGTCTTCCCTCTTTCATGGAGTGCATACTTCAGCCACTTCTGAAGAAGGGTATGGTGGGAAAAGTGGGCCATTTTTCATGAGGGTGTTTGTGTGTGCAGATACACATGCATGTGTGTCTGTGTGTGTGGAGGTCAGACAACAACCTTGGGTGTGATCCTCAGAAGCATCGTCAACCTCATTGGCCTAGGGCTCACCAACTGGGCTAGACTGGCTGGCCAGTTAGCTCTGGGGATTCCCAGTGCAGGAATTACAAATGTACAGCACTGTACTCAGCTTTTACATGCATGCTGGAGATCAAATTCAGGTCCTCAGCTGCGCAGTGAGCGTTCTGCTGCCTGAGCCATCCCCTCAACCTCTGAGTTAGGTCATTCTTGATGTTGTGTTTGTCTCTGAAAGGATCTTTGTTCCACCTTCATATTTAGGTGTCAGTTTGGTAGCTACAGAAAGCTGGTTTGAAGCACTTTCCTTAAAAAATTATCAATATAATTTTACTACTGAAGAATCATAAGTTTTCCCCATTTCTGTTTCTTTGAAAATATAGCATCAGTATCTTATATATAAAATTCTTGGGACCAGAAATGCTTTGGATTTAGGACTTTTTTCTCTGATTTGGAAATATATGCCTATACATACCAAAATCTCTTAGGGTGGTATCCAAGTCAAAATATGAAATCTAATAATGTTTCATATATGCGTTATATATATATTGCCTGAATTTATTTTTGGACTATACATTACTGTGCTTGCATTTTTGGTTTTAAGACAGGCTCTTACCGTGTGGGCCAGCCTAGCCCAGAAGTCACCATGTAACCCAGCTAGCCTCAAAACTCATGATCCTCCTGCCTTAGCCTCCTGACTACTGGGATTAGAGGCATGAGCTATCACATCTGACTTCTTTGTTCAGTTCTCCTGAAAATACAACCGAGGTAAAACTTCAGCAGCGAATGTGCATTTTTCATTTATGAGCATTCCATTTCTCTTCATCGTTGTCAACAGAAATAGTTCTTTTGTGTTCCTACCTTGTTGGCAAGAACATTGTTCCAGAACACTCAGAGTGAGCCAGGGTTGTTGCCCTGTCAAAAGGAAAAGCTGCCAGAGTCCTTAGGTCCAGAGAGGGATGGAGGAAGGAGACTTGGGTGTTATTCTAAGGAGGTTTTTGCCTTCTCTTCTCTTCCGCTGGCAGAGTTGAGAATTCCTTCTAAAGACCTTTTTAGTGGAGCTTTACAACGGAGCACTTGCATGTTTTAAAATCATTCCTGTTCCTTAAGGGCAAAACGAAGCTCTAAGAGCCTTCTTACTGTTGAGCAGACTAGAGTCACTTCAGCAAACCTTTAGAAAGAGCAGTAGTGGGCTTCTTTTGGTTTTTTGTTTTCTTTTGTTTTTGTCTTATTTTACTCACCTGTCTTTCCCGGGCTGACTCACAGTTAAATAAGAAAGTTCCAAATCGGCAACTATACAGGTGATCCAAGATGGTAATCAGAAAATGCTCATTGAATTCAAAAGCTGTGGGAAACTAGACAAAAACAAATCAGTGAGAAAAGAATGAAAAATTCAATCTAGTCTCTCATGGAACTCAAAAATGCATGGCAGGGCATGGTTCATAGGAGACTATTTTGGGGGCTGTCAAAGTAAGAATTTATGGTGTATTACTGTTCACTTTGACTTTAAAAATACACAAACATAGACATTGTGGCTAATGAAGCTGCACATATAGATGATGGAGTGAGTGAACACTGCAGAGGCTGCCATCCACACGTACCCCACAGCTTATATTTTGCACCTCACATAGGTCTGAGACACTTAAATAAGGGTCAAGTCAAGGAATAAAGAGGAAAAAGTGATCAATAGGCCTGTTTTCTGAGGTCTCCCGGTCATATAGAACAGTTTACTTTTTTAAAGCATTGTGAGCTGGCAGATATGCTCACACAGAAACACCACAGAAGAGAATGTAAAGTGTAAACTGTAGGATGGAGGATTCCAGACATAAAGAGCAGCAGTGATTAAAAAAAAATGTACCAATCACTGGGATTCCTTTTTCACCCATGCTAAGTCTTGTTTTATCTTTATTTCTGCCCTGCATTATTTTGGAGGCTAAGCTTAGATGTTAGAGACATTATTTAACCATGGAGCCATACTTTCATCCCATGTTTCCTTACCTGTTTCGACATCTGCCACACACAGTCAATAAACTGGAGAAAAATAGGAGATCGATCAGCATCGGCATGGTTTTTATCACCATGACCTATTCTCTGAAATGAATTGATAAAGATAATTTAATTCATGGGTACAAAACAGAGAAAGCATATAACTTACAAAATGTCACAATACAACTCAGCAACCTGCTTTTTAAATGCCAAGTGTCTCAGAAAGTAAATTGTATACGTTTCCATGGAAATACAGAGAAATAACAGATGGTTTCATAGTAATGGCAATTTAAAAAAATTAAATTTATTTGTGTGTGCATATGAGTGTGTGTATGAGAATATATGAGAGACAGAGAGAGAGACAGAGAGAGAGAGAGAGAGAGAGAGAGAGAGAGAGAGAGAGAGAGAGCAAGCATGCGTGTGTAGGTCAAGGGACAACTTGTGGGAAATGGTTCTCTCCTTCAAGCAAATGGAACTGAGCTCATGTCATCAGGCCTGGCAGGGGATACCTTTACCTGCTGAGTCATCTTGCTGTCTGAATAATGGAAATTCAGTGAGAGAGGCTGGAGTGATACCCAGTCAATAAAGTGGTTGCCATACAAGCATGTAGAGGTGAGTTCAATCCCAGAACTCGTGGCAAATAAGACTGGCATGGTAGCACGGGTCTGCAATCCCACAGCCAGGGTGGTAGAGACAGGAGGATCTTTGGGACTCACTGGCTAGTCAGCCTACCTGAAGCAAACAGCCCTGTGTCCCAGTGAGAGACCCTATCTCAAAAGGTGGGGGCTGGAGACTTGGCTCAGTGGGTAAGAGCACTGGTTATCCTTCCAGAGGAGGCAGATTTGCTTCCTAGTATCCATATGGTAGCCAATAACCACCTATAACTACAGTTCCAGAGGATATGATGCCCTCTTCTGGATTCTTCAGGCATGGCACACATGGTATACTTACATACATGCAGGCAAAACATACATACACAAAATATTAAAAATAAATAAAAATGGAAAAGCAAAGCAAAGAGGACCACTCCTGAGCAGTGACACCTAAGGCTGACCTTTGGCCTACACATGTACATGTATACACATGTACCCCCACATGTGCACCTGTACACATCTGCTGCAAACACAAACACACACACACACACACACACACAATCATAAGAAAACTGGCAAATGAAAACAAGCAAAGCATCATCATCTATCTGTCTTACAATTATTACATACAAGGGCAATTTTGTACAAGTCCTAGACAGTTGCAGGTACAGTCATTCTCTCAGTGAAGGGGCAACCTGAAGTCTCAAGGATGGAAGCCATGCTCAAACTATGGCTATTACAATGGAAAGCTCTTCCTCAGTTAAAGACAAAACAACCCTCTCAAGTCATTAATTTACTAAACAGTGAGTGCTTCCACTTGAAAACCTTATTCATACCATTTGTGAAATTTGTATGGAGGCTAAAAGGTGACCAAACAGTATTTCCAGAAGTAAGATCAATGGATCCTCTTATTGACAATCATTAAAAAATGCTGATTCAAAGGACATCTGGAAAGAAGACTGAGCAGATGAATTGTAGCATGGTCTCTTGATGATTTAAAAACTGTGTATTGGTCTGGAGAGATGGCTCAGCAGTTAAGAGTGCTGTCTTCTATTACAGAAGACCTGGGTTCAGTTCCCAGCATCCACATGGCAGTGAGCAACCATTCTTAACTCCAGTTCCAGGGGATCCAACGCCCTCTTCTGACTTCTATGGGCATTATATGACACAGGTGCATTTACACACGTGCAGGCAATATACTCATACAAAAATGAATCAATAAATATTTTTAAAAATATATAACAGAGAACAAGAGGAAACCTCAAATAAAAATCTACCACTACATTTATCCCTGACAGCTGTAATATTACCTCAGAGACAACTGTCATCCTACTTTCTTTTGTGAAATTTTCATTTAAAGATTTCTTTCCTTTTTCATTTCCTGAGACAAAGTCTTGCTTTGTAGTCCAGGCTGGCCTGGAACTCATTATGTAGCCTTGGCTAGAACTCGCTGCAATCTTCCTGTCTCAGCCTCCCAAGTGCTGAGATTATAGGTAGGTCCAAGCACACGTACGTTCAATTCACACATTTCTTTTTTAAAAAATATTTTATTATTTTTATTGTATGTGTATGAGTACATTCCTTGCACATATGTAAGGGCACTCGTGTGGTGCAATACCCGCAGAGGTCAGAAGAGGGTGTCAGTGTCAGATTCCCCTGGGACTGGAGTTACAAACAGTTGTTAGTCACCATGTGGGTGCAGGAAACTGTACCCAAGTCCTCTGCAAGAACAGCTAGTGTTCTTAACCATTGAGCCATGTCTCCAGCCCCCAATTCACACATTTATTTTTATTTTTTATTTATTATTATATTTTATTATTTATTTTTTATTAATTTGTTGTTATTATTATTATTATTATTATTATTATTATTATTTTGAGTATGAGTGTATTGCCTGCATGTAGATAGGTGCACCCGTGTTGTGCAATGACCAGGGAGGTCAGAAGAAGGTGTCAGACTTCCCTGGAACTGGAGTTACGGATGGTTCTTAGCCACCATGTGGGTGCTGGGAATTGAACCCAGGTCCTCTGCAAGAGCAGTCAGTGCTCTTAACCACTGAGTCATTTCTCCAGCCCCAAAGTCACACATTTCTAATCTGACTCCATTACTTTCAAGTTAAACTGTAAATAGTATGGATGGATAAATGTGTGTCTTAAAAAGACTTTCACCAACCCAAGGCATCACACGTTTGAAAACCTAAAGTAGTTTTTGTTGACACTCCACGGATTTATGTTAGTACTGAATACACAGTATAGAAACCAATTTTTCAAACTCCCAAATGACAGACATCTGATTTTAAAAGGAATGCTTTAGTGTTTACTTACAGATGCAAATTTATGGCCAAAACTTATCCACTCTTTTTGTACCAATATTTCAAAGCCTTCGATACTTCTGTAGAAACTGTCCAGCATTAGCATGGCCAGTGATGTCAGCTGAGCAGTCCTGTCCCATCCGTCACTGCAGTGCACAAGAACCGAGCTCTTCCCTGAAGAAACTTTGTCTGCAACTTGAATGGCTCCTGTCAGAACAAGCTGGCAGAAAGAAACACACAAGTAAGCAGGGAGTACTGATGCTGCTTGGATGTGAAAGTACCATCCACCTTCACTTACTGTAGCCCAAGTCCTGCTTTAAGTTTGAAGAACAGAGGAAGGGAACTAGAACACAAGGAACTGCAAGACTCCGTTCCCTTTGTCTGCAGGGACCACTTTTGGATGTGTCAAGATGTTAAATAAACAAAAGTCAACTGCATTTTGACCATATGTTCATAGATGTGACTTAAGAATGTGCTAGGGTCATTGTAACAAAGTCCCACAAACTTGGTGACTGATAGGACAGAATAGTGGCTCCTAGTTCTAGGGGCTGGAAACCCAATATAATGTTGTTGGTAGGGCCCTCACTAGCCACTGAAGGAGCCCATTACAAGCCCTTCTCTTGCCATTAGACACTTTCTTGGCTTGCAGTAGAGTACCTTTCATCCTCATATGGCATCCTCCCTGTATGCTTGTCTCTGTGCCCACATTTTCCCTGTTTACATGGACATCAGTTATATCAAAGTAAGGGCTTATTTCCTGAGCCTCATCTTAATTCATTACACTTGTGGAAACATAATTTCAATATAAGGTCATTCTGGCACACTGGAGCATCAGGACTCTAACATATGAATGGGGGGGGCACTAGCCAACTCATAACTGGGGCTATATTAGAAAAAAATCATGTTTGAATATTGACAAAACACGATCATTTATTTGGTTCATGTACAGATATTTTCCCCAAAGATAAATAGTGGTAAAAATTTGAATCTTAGAAGTACCACTAAATTTATATATATGAATTATTGCTATGATGCATTTTTCACAATTCCAGTACTTACAGAGGTATTCTTTACAAACCATAGAAATTATCACCAGTAAGTGGCAGTTGACAAGATTTAGCAAGTTCACACAATTGTGCAACCATCACTACAATCCATCTGTAGAACAGAGTCACCTGCCAGTCTAAGTAATGCCATCTGAGGTCAGGTTGTTTCCATCCTCAGCTTCTGCCAACTGCTGATGTGCTTCCTGTCTCTAGGGTTTGCTTTCTTGGAAATCTGGCATCTGTGGAATTATACTATTGTGTCTGTGTCTGTCTATGTTTCACATCTTTCATGTAGCATCATGTTGCAAATGTACGCTTAATTTTCAAAGAAATAAATTTTTTTTGAGAGAGGGTTTCACTATATAGCACTGGATGGTCTGGAACTCGTTATGTACACCAGTTTGGCTTTGAATTCATAGAGATCTGCCTGCTTCTGCCTCCCAAGTACCACATGCCAACTCTTCTCTCTCTCTCTCTCTCTCTCTCTCTCTCTCTCTCTCTCTGTGTCTTTTTGAGACAGGGTCTCCCTGTAGCCCCAGCTGTCCTGGAACTCACTATGTAGACCAGGCTGGCCTTGAACTCACAGAGATCTGCCTGCCTCTGCCTCCTGAGTGCTGGGATTAAACACATGCACCATCATGCCCGACCCAACTCTTTTCTTAAGAAAAGTATTTTATTTATTTTTATTTTATGTATTTCAGTGTTTTGCCTGCATATAAGTGCACTATTTGTGTGCAATGGCCCACAGAGGCCAGAAGAGGGCATCAGATTTCCAGGAACTGTGATACCCAGATGATTGTTAGCAGCTATGTGGGTGATGGGAACTGAACCCAGGCTCTTCTCCAAGAGTGGCAAGTGCAGAAACAAAGTTAAAGAGCGGCTGTACCATCTCACATTCTTGCTAGTCTGTATGAGGGTTCATCTTTTCAAATGCGTATCAACTATCTGCATATATTTTATCATTTTGAGTTTTTAAAAAGGTGTTATTATTGAATGTGTGTGCATGATATATGTATGTGGGCATTCGTTCCATAGAGCATTTCTGGAGGTCACAGGGCAAATTTCTGGAATCTGTTCTTTCCTTCTACCTTTATGTGTCTTGGTGACTGAACTCAGTTCATCAGGCTTGCACAGCAAGCACTTTACCTGATTCTTGTTGGCCCCTTGAGTTTATTTTCTGAAAGGCATTCAACGGAGCACCCAAAATTCTAACACCACAGTAAAAATACATTGTAGACATTTTAACTAATTCAAGAAAACTGAAAGCATCTATTGAAACTAATTTAAAGAATATTCAGATTACGCAGGCCATTTCACATGCAGAAAATATGAAAGTTTAATACCTTTACATGAACACTGAAGAGAGAAGTGGGCAAAGGAGTGCTAAGAAAGAAAGAAAGGTTAGGGGACCTTGGGATGACAGGCCGTCACGTACTTGTGCACGAGTCATTGCTCCTGAACCAGCTTCAAGCATGTAAAGTATTCTGCGTGCAAACCTGTTTGTTTAACTTAAGGGACTTGTGTGGAGAAGCTATACTAACATCCTAGAGCTCACTCAAACCCAACTTCTTGAGTTTGGATTTCCAGCACAATTTGCAGAGTGCAACCCTCACCCCAGACACTTCTCTCACAATAGAAAGGGGATTCAATCACAGGCAATTATTTTAGACATATCAGATGTTTGTCAATTAAGTATGAATTCCCACAATCACTCTGACTTTGAACAACTGTAATTATTTAATGAAACTAAATCTGATTTCTAAAACTGGATCATTGAAAATAAATAATGAGGTAGACTTGGGACAGAGGAGAAGAAAGCAGCAGTTTGGAGCACCGGCTCTGGAAGCCAAAGACCTGGATTTGAAATGTTGCTCTACCACTTTAGAGACCTTGCTCTTTGGGCCAACCATGCAGCCTCTGGTTGCTGTGATGAAAGCTGAGGAACAAATGGTACCTCCAGCTGCTCATTTTGTGCTAAAAGATCATCTCCATGAAACTTAAGATAGTGTTGGATGAAGACTAGCTGTTGGATTGCTGTCCATCTTCTTAAACCAGGAGGGAGAACCCTATGGGAAGAGTGACTGAAAAGGGACAAAGGGGGAGTGTGAGCTCCAGACACTGTACGGCCTTCTATCGTGTGTGGGCTCTAGCAGGGTAGGAGGATCGAGGAGGCACATAAGGCTGCTGTGTGAATGCACAGCTCTTGCTGCTTTCCTGCACGGAGTAGTAAGACTGGCTGAGCACAGTGCAGGCTAGTGGCAGCCATGCCACATTGCTGCCAGCAGTTCTGACACTTGAAGGAGGAGACTGACAAGTGTTCATCAAAGATGCCCAAGTTCTAACAGCCGGTACCTAGGAACACAACCTTACATGGAAACAAGGGCTTTATAGACATGACCAAGTTAAGGATTTTGAGATGAGGAGATTATTTTTGATCATCCACATAGGCCCTAAATTATATAAATCCTGCTAAGAGGGAGGCAGAAGGAGATTTCGCATATACAGAATAGAAGAGAATGTGAGCACAGAGGTAGAGGTGAGAGTGATACAGGAACAAACCAAGAAATGTTAGTGGCCGTGAGAATTGGGAAGAGACTAAAAGGAGGTTCTTACCTAGAGCTCAGAGGGAGCACACCCCAAGACTGCATCCAGTCTTCAAGGCCTAGTTCAAACTGCCCTAAATTCCTGCGATCTAATTTATATGTGAGAAGCTCTGACATGGATAATGTTACATGTGCCCAATTGGACTCCACAGCCTCCTCACAGTTTTTCATTGCTCTGTATCCTCCCTCACTACAGACAAACACCTGACGTGTTTAAGCACGCACAGTCTGAACCAGCTTTTCTTCCTTCTTCCTGAGCTGTCCTACCTCATGTTTCTAGCACATGTTTTCTTGCTGTCTCACAGCAGCAGTGACAAAACCCCAGGACAATTTTTCTACTTAACTTATAGAGACTGGCAGAACGGAAGGAGCAAAAGGACAAACTAGGAAAGGAACACCATTCCAGACATGCTACTCAGAAACAGTGCTGCTGGACACCTTTCAAAAGTTCCTTGCACACATACATGTCTTTCCTTAGATTGGGCCTTTTGAGCATTTACTCATGTTATTATCTATAATACCCAATGTACTTAATAATCACACAGCATTTCATTATATATATATAAAACTTTCCTGTACATTTATGCTATGTTCAATGTTTTTCCACTACTATAAAAATCCTAGTATATTCAACATTTGGAATTATATGATTACTTCCTTTAAAAACACCTTAATTCAGTCTTCTCTCTGTCTTCAAAACAGGCTGAAGTGTCCCAAGACTTACAAAGCCTTTTTCATAATCACGAGATCCTTAATCCCTTCCTCTTTTATCTGGCTTTTTTTCCTGGAATGTTATATGTGATATGCATGTGTGTGTGTGTGTGTGTGTGTGTGTGTGTGTGTGTGTGTTCACATGTTGTACAAGTGTCCATGTGTGTGTGTGGACATGAGGTAGAAATCGGGAGTCTTTCTCAATTGCACTGGTGTCTTTATTGATGGAGCAGTGTCTCTCAACTGATCCCTGAGCTCACCAACACAACTAGGCTGCCTAGCCAGCTTGCACTGAGGAGTCCCTTTCTCTGCCCTCAGAGCGCTAGACTTACAGGTGGGATGCCATACCCACTTGGCATGTGCATAGGTTCTGAGGATCCCAAATTCAGTCCTCATGCTTGTGTGGCAAGTGCTTTAACCACTGCCCCATCTCCCTAGCTGTTATCTAGCTTTGCAAAATGACAGTTTACATTCACTAACCATATTTCCTCAACTCTCACCCCATGACACTGCCACACACCCATGGATGCCTGCCCTCCAAAGTCCACCACTCACAGTTTCTTCTTGGGCTCCTTCTAGACATTCCAATATTTTCTTTTGATCTCCTGACTTCCGTCTTGTGCCTTCCTCACTGAATTCCTTCTATGTTGAGTACAAGCCTGTTCAGGGTTTTATTCCAAGTCCTCTGATCTTTTCCTTATAAGCAGTCTCTCTCAGTATCCAAGTTAAAGGGCTCAGCCTGAGTTTGGTGCCTGACAGGTGACTCACAAACTGATATCTTAGTCCCAAGCCTCTATTTTGAGTTTGACTTTACATGAGAACTTGTCTGCTAGATACCACCAGAGGATGTCCCAACACCACCCCCAAAGCACAGCGTTTCTCTTGGTTAGGGGCCTAGTCAGAACTGCTCTTCATCACGAAACAGAAGTATTGTGTTCTCAGCCATCTGGTTTCAGCCTCCATTTCTTTAGGTCCTACATCTAACTAATCATAATGTACCACTGACCCATCTTATGAAACAACTGGTATATTTCCTGAGTAGTCCCCTCATCTTCATGTTGATGTTATAACACCATTTCTGAAATTTTGAACCTTTTTTCTCTGACTTCACGTTCTTTCCTCTGTCTACCACATAAGCAGTCACTGGAACAGTCTCCTCCATGATCATATGATTCGCCAAATCCCAAGATGTCTCCCCAGTCTAACTGGACCCTCAAGGCCTAGGCTGCCTGGCTTCATCCAGATTGCTAGCTAGGCCAACTGCCATCAATAGAAACCCTCTCTCTTGTCATTTTGGTCTCACTCATGTAAGTTTCTGAGCTTTCAACTCAGCTGTCTTCATTAGAAGATATCCTCTGCTTTCTGTAAGTGCTAGGTCAAGTCTCACAAAATTCCAGATGGCCTGTTTCTTTAGCTAACTTTGCTATGAAGCCCTACTGTGAACTGAAAACACAGTATCTTGGAATATTATGTTTATTTTTACACATACATATAATTTGTTCAACCATCTATGAACCTCTTTAAAGACAGGAAATATGCCTTTTCCTTTTCCTTGTCATAGGGTCTAACATGATGCTCTGTGAAAAAAAAACCCAAAAACTTGTGTGTTAGTTAAAATAACACATCTTTTAAACTTTAGAATCCTTTTTTTTAAACACAGAAAACATGTAAAGGTACTATAGAAAGATATACTTAAACCAGTTGACATCCTAGGGTATATTTGTCACAGCTATGGTATATCCACATTTGATACAACTAATTAACCTAAATTGACATGCCATTTTCTTATTAAGAAATTTATCACTAACTTATTTTAAAAATCCATACTTTATTGACATTTCCTTAGTTTTACACTTTATGTCCATTTTTATTCTAGAATCCCATTCAGGATACATATTACATTTAATTGCCACAATTATTTTGTAATTCATTTTGTGAAGCTAAATTAAGAAAAATGAAAGTTAAACATACACACAAAATGTGGCTCCTGTTCAGCTGGAAAGTGTAACTTCACTAGAAAACAATCTATCATAATTCACCTGCTTAAGAAAATAAGACCCTGTGGAGTGTTCAGCACTAAATGGGACACCTATATCACATCCTTTCTTCCCAGGGCTCAAGGATCACTGCAGAAAAAGGCGTGAAAAGGTTGTACGAGCCAGGGGTAATAGATATACAAGGAAACCATGTTGTCTGGACACAACAGGGAAGTTGTACACATGAAGCCGCAAGCTCAAGCCAGACAAAATCCCTGCGGCCCTAGTTGAGGATCTATTGGCAACTGATGGGTAGTGGGAAAGGGAGAGTCAGTTTTCTTAAAGGGTGTGTTGTTTCATAGGCTGACCACACTCCAGGGGATGGAGTCACATCCAAGGGAACTTGAGGAACAGAAATTTAGACTCAATAGGCCTAAAAAATATAATAGATGACATGAAGTGAGGTGGTAGGGAGGCAGGAGTGGGTGTGAGAGATGACGGAGGGGTCTGAGAATGTTCAAAATCCACTGAATGAAATTCTCAAAGAATCAATAAAAATATTATTCAAATGATTCATCTCAGAGTATGCTTTCGCTTTGTCTGTTTACAGAACTGTGTGGCTTCTAATGTGTTAGCTCTCTCACAGGGTTTCTAGTACTCGTACTTTGAAGAACTTTTTATGCTTCTATGAGAATGAAAGATTGAACATAATGAAAATACCAAACCCATTCTTTAAAGTTAGTCGGAAAGAGATTATTAAAATGAAAATTAACAAAAAGTCCCAGCTCTGTCTAGGTCCATGAGGGATATCCCCAGTAACAGATAAAACACCTGTATGAAACCACTACTGACAAGACTAGAAGAGACCAAACTCTTAGAAATAAGATGGGAGGATACTGAGAGACCTTTAATTTAAGTAAGCAAATTATAAAGAAACATAAAGCTGTCAAAAGTATACTATTACAAATAGTTTCTCCCACTCTGTCCTTGAGTATTCAATTTTTAAATATTTAAGGAAAAATTCTTGTTCCACCAAATAACTACTCTTTTATACTTGCAAATATTGTTTAAAGTATACTTGCCTTGATATGTTCTAACCAATGAGTAGACTCCAAACTGGACAACCAATGAGATTCTTCGATATTGGGATAAACAATGTCTTTCACCTTTTTTAAAGATTCACGCATCACGTGAATATTATGAATGTCTAAGAAAGAAAGTTCGGCGTTATGATATGCGTCATCACTTTCATATCCTCCTCCTGTTGCCTAAGAAACAAGATTACAAACAATCAGCTGGATTTTTTATTTCATCAGTAACTTATGAAAATGTTTCGCAGGCTAGCTACCTTCCAAATTTCAATCCAAGCCCCTGGTAATTTAAATAGCTAATGTTACTCGCCTTCCTATCTAACACTTAGCCTCAACAAGTGAAGTCATAGTTTGAGCTAGACAAAATGATGGAAAGTTGGCAATTTCCTGGAGGAGAGGACAACTGAATTAATGAGACAAAACATTCCCTCCAAAATGTTCTGTGATAACTAGATCTTGCAGATATGGAAAAGCAAGGGCAGACTCTGAAAAGCCCTTGTCCTCCATCAGTTTTGTAGCTATTGCCGTATTGCTTGGGGTGGGGTATAGGGCAGCCAAATGAACATGGCAGCAAGCACTCCAGCTTTGTAAAGGTGTTCACACGGGATACAATGTATTAGTGGAAAACAACTTTTGGAGTCAGACAGACATGGGCCAATAGCTCAGCTTCCGCCTCTCATCATTATGTGACCTGGGGCCAGGCACTTGCCCTCTAAGCACAAATGTCCTGTCCTATAAAGCAGGGTTCATTCCCTAGGTCTCATGGGATAAAAAGTGCCAGACTCCTTTATAATGACTAACATCATTAACCATCTGATGAGCCCCTATGATGTCTTGATTTGTAACTTTGCTTCTTACAGGAATGCTACAAGACAGATACTACTATACACATTTTGCAAGGAAGAAAGCAGAAACTAAGAGACTTAACTATTCTAAAATCATTCAGGTAATAAGTGAAATTTAAGTTGAATTTCACTTGAAAGCCCAAACCTTTTCTACAGTATCAGGGCCATGTTACTGCTATGCAAATAGCACTAACAGAGCACTGCACAGAGGGGGCCCTCAAATAATTTACAAGGTTCTAAGGAAACAAGATGGCCACTAGCCCCTACACCAAGTACAAGGTCTTTATTGCTGGCTTTGGGTTTTTGTGGAACTAGGTGTGGAACTCAGAGCCTTGTATATCGTAGGCAAGCAGCCTATCATGTTCCTGTGGAACTCTTGTAAGTGTTCACTTGCCATGCCCGGCTTTGGTTCTCCACTACAGCGAGTGCAAAGTCCATTTCCACAACGAAAGAGACACTACAGTTTTATTTAGGAACTTGGCTGTACTCTGCTTAAACGTTTGGAAATGTCACAGGACAGGGAGCTTCAGGCCCTTTAAGAAAAGTGAAACAGTTCTGAGATTTTCTCAGAGAGTCACTTCTTAGGAGACACTGACTTTAGAGTGCTTGTAGGAAGAACACAGGGAAACGCCTGCCCAGGACTAGAGAAAAGCGGAAGGCCCCTGGCAAATGGGGCATCCCCACAATGTATCTCCTTTTCCTTAGAACAATTAGGAATAGAAGCTTGTAGCCAGTGTTGGAACAGCAAAGCGGGCTGGGTTTTGCTGCAGTTGGTCGCAGAGATTTCTTGAAGTGAAAGTAAAGCTTAGACCTGGAACCTATGTGGCAGGTCAGAGATCCTCATCTCTGAATGCTCTACAAGACAAAGCATACTTAGGCACAAATGTTTCTTTCAAGCTGGATTTACATAGCTCAGCAGTAAGGTAACAAGAAACATTCTCTTTGCTATTGTCTTTTTTTTTTAAAGACAGGGTCTCAGACTGTACCACTTACTGGCCTAGAACTCACAATGCAGTATATGCTGGACTTAAACTCATGGCAATCCTCCTGCCTCAGCATCTCAAGTGCTTGGATCACAGGTGTTAAATCAGCACACCCATTTTCTATTTGTCTTTTGCTGGTCTCTCTCCTCCTCTTCTCTTCTCTTCTCTTCTCTTCTCTTCTCTTCTCTTCTCTTCTCTTCTCTTCTCTTCTCTTCTCCCTCCCTCCCTCCCCCTCCCCCGTGTGTGTGTCTGTGTGTGTGTGTGTGTGTGTGTGTGTGTGTGCGCACACGAGCATGCCTGATAAGGCCAGAGGGCATCAGCTGTCATGGAGCAGGAGTTACAGGTAGTTATGAAATGGCTGATGTGGTTTCTGGGAACTGAACTCGTGTTCTCAGGACAAGCAGTCAGTGTTCTTGTTCTTCTAACCACTAAACCATCTCTCCAGCCCCTGTCATTAAAAAAACTTTTTCTTAAGAAATTAGCAGACAATCGTACTACCTTCCCTTCTCCCTAGCCGTGCACACTTTGGGGAAGAAGGCCTGGGATGTGGGAGCTGGATTATGTTCTGCTAGACCTGCAAGCCTATAATGCAAGGACCTGTTTCCCCTCCTGCAGACAGAAGGCCTGCACCTCTGTATGTCTGGCTGTTACATGATGATGGGATTTTCTGAGATGCCCAATACTAGAGTTCCTTTCATAAATAACTAAAAACAGCGTGGAAAAAAAGCAAAAGAAAAAATACAGGTTTGAATCACTGCCAAAATATCTGGCAAAACCAGACATTAATATAGCTCTACTTTATTTAAGTACAGTGCTCTATCCCCAAAATAGAAATAGCTTAAAGATTTACCAAGTCTCAGTTTTGTTTCATTGAAAATGATGTGATGTTGCTGATTACACATAAATAGCCACAAGGGAGGAGAAGAGGGGCAAAAAGAACAGAAGTCAGCAAGGGTAAAAAATCAATTAGTCAAGCACAGACTGAGTTCCCCAAAGTGCAGTTCTCCATCTCTGGTTACTTTTGAAGTCTCCTCTTTGGTTTTCCTTTCTTCAACAAAAGAGAACAACTGAAATTATCTAGTATGATGTAAAGGGTCAAGGGCCTGTTGCTATGGATATAGACAAGTAGTGGAGACAGAGCCAGGAGGAGGGGTTTTGAAAGAATGACCCACAGTGCTTTAAGGCTTAGTGTTTTGTTTCTTTCTTAATATTTTCCTTCTTTTCATTCCTAAGAGGACTAGAAACAGAGGCTTATTTCTCCAACATTAAAAAGGCATTCAAGAATTTTGTTGCTATAATGAGCTTCAGAGTTAATATAATTAAGGTATTCATTTCATCCACTTTAATATTTTAAAATATTCTTTCTAAATGTTTCATTTTAATGTTACATCATATCTATTTCAGACTAAATCTGTACATGGAAATACTGTGTTTTATACATGTGTTCAGTTTGAATTATATATGAAGGAAAATATATAAAATTATGGCGAACTCAAGAAGATATTTAGATTTAATTTCTTAAATGTTTTACTTACGATGCCTGACTTACCAGTTCAACTTCATGACTGATTTACATATAAGTTTGAAATTATTTCTATACAAAGCCCAATGGTGATAACAAACAGCTCATCTAAGAGCATGAATGAGGCTGGGGCAGGCATCCCAGGATTAAATGTGTAGGACGGATGAGCCGTGTGCAAATAGCAAAGAGCTGAGCCGCACACATTTGCAGTCTAACAAACCCTAAGGGAGACAGACTTTACACAGATTCCATTTCAGAAATTACTGCATCTATCTGGGCTGCTCAAGGACTTGCTCTGCTTTCAGGTTCTTGTGATGGGTTCTGAATAATTGAAGACGTCAGATAAATGACCTTGGGAGGAGTAAAGCATTAAAGGTGATGAAATTTAAACTCACAGCTGAAGAGAATAAATCTGAAAGATGGAATCTGGGAATGAGCAACTTGGGCAGGCTCACTTGGGAATGACAGCGGTAAGAATGGGAGATCAAAATTATAAAAGGGAAAGCCAGAAATGGTAGTTGATGCCTATAATCTCCGCTTGAGAGGCTGAGGCAGGAGGATTTCCATGAGATTCAGGCCAGCCTGGACTAAATAGTGAGATGCTGTCTCAAAGAAACAATCTAAGCTAAACCAACCAGATCAACCCAAGAAAAAGCCCTCAAAATAGAAATCAAAGGTAAGCCTGTATAGATCAGGTCGTTTAGTACAGGGGCAAACAGGCTTTTCCTTACAGCAGGTTCTGGGGGCAATGCCACACAGACCCTGATGTTTGCAATGATGGCGCTATAATCAACTTCAAGTATACTCTACACATTCTACTTAAAAAGGCAAAGACAGTTAAGAGCAGCTTTTTGGAAAATGAGACTTTTGTGTGTGATTAGAATATTTGTATACAGATCAATTCATTTCTTGAACTATCTTACACAAATGACAATATGTGACTACAGATGACATGGGTGAGGAAATCTTTGCTAATGGTTATACATTTCAGATTTTAATAAATGCAGCTTCCCACACGTCCCTGCAAATTTCTCAGCAGTACACATTAGTAAGAGTCGTCATACACAGCTACAAGAGCTCCAAAGACGACCTTTTGCCTAAGGTTCTAGACAGCAGCCAGTGTCACTACAGTTCTAGACATATCTTTTGTCCTGAAGTTTACTTTCAGTTGATTTTGTTTTCTTTTAAGACAGTGTCTTGCAACTTAGCCCACGCTGGCCTCAAACTCTTCATCCTCCTGCCTCAGCATCAAAAGTGCTGGGATTACTAGCATGTACCACCATGCCTGGCTCATTTAATTTTAATGCAATTTTTATTAAAATACTTTCTAAGGGCTGGAGAGATGGCTCTGTGGTTAAAAGCACTGGCTGCTTTTGCAGAAGACCACAGTTTGGTTCCCAGCACCCACGCTAGCTAACAACCCCTCCATAACTCCACTGCAAGGGAATCTGATACCCTCTTCTGGCCTTGGTGGGCATCACATGCCTGGGTCCACTTACATACGAGCAGATAAAACTCTCATACACATAAAATTTTTAAAAATTAAAAAATACTTTCTATCTAAGAAACGGTTTTAGAAACTAGTTTTAGTAACTTGATTTTAACTATTAATTTATACCCATGTGTGCTAGATAGCATCAATTGTCAACCTGACACACCTGAGATGAGAGCACTCAATTGAGGCACTGCTTCCATGGGACTGACCTATGGCCATGTCTGTGGAGCATTTCTTAATTGAAAATTGATGTAGGAGGGCCCATCACATTGTGGGCAATCCCCCCCACCCGCCCATCCCCTGGTACAGATAGTCCTAGAATGTGTAAGAAAGCAGGCTCAACACAGGCCAGGCAAGCAAGCCAGTAAGCAGTATGTTTCCATGGTCTCTGCTTCAGTTCCTGCCTCGGCTTCTCTCAGTGATGGACTGTCACATGGAAGTTTAAGATGCAATAAACTCTTTCCTCCCCAACTTGTTGGTCAGTGTTTTATCACAGCAATAGAAAGCTAACTAGGATATCATGTGTCTGGAGTCACAGTTACTCAGGAGGCTGAGGCAGGAGGATCACTTATATCCAGGAATTTGAGAATAGCCTGGGAGAACTCATCTTTTTCTTCCTTTCCCTTTCCCCCCTTTTCTTCCTCTTTTCTCTGTTTTGTTGAGATAGGGTCTTGCTTGTTATGTAGCCCCGAGTGACTTGGAATTCAGTATGTAAATCAGGTTGACCTTAAACTTGCAGTGAGTCTCTTGTCTCTGCCTCCTTGGTACTGGGATTACAAGGATTACAGGCTTTACTGGTGGATACTACCAGACCAGCTTTAGTATAGTATTATAGATAATACTATCTTTTGTTGTGGTCTCATATACCCCAGGTTAGCTTATAATTCACTATATAGCTGAAGATGACCTTGCACTCCTGATCCTCCTGCCTCCACCTAAGTGCAGGGATTATAGGTATGTGCCCAGCGAGATCCTGCCTTAAAAAATACATGAAAATTCAAAATAAGCCCACATATTGATACACTATGGCAAACCCATTCCTGGGAAACACTGCAGTCCCTATGTAAGCTCAGTTTTTGTTGACTGCACTCACCTTGTTGGCCACGGCATTTACACTGGGTCTGGCATCATAGATTGTGAGTTTAGAAATTTGTCTGTTAGTCTCCCTGATCACGTCCAGATATTTCTCATCATCTTTGTTTCTTTTACCACTCATACCGACAAGAGGCTGACTGCAGCGCACAATGACTGTCTTGTTTTCTGGATGAATCCATGATAGCACCTACGGTTAGTTCAGAAAGTTTAAACTGGCAAGTCTCTAGACAGTCATTAAAGTAAATCATAAATCACTATCAATCAAACATGAAGAAGCAAATCTGTACTAAACACAATACTGGTTCACCTGTGATTTCCACCATGACATCAGAAACACACATTTAACAGTCAGGTCTGCTCAGAAAAAAATCTGAACAGTCCATTGCTTTACCAGTCTTTCAAAACAAACTAACACCAAAAACTAATGCTTATCATAAGAAAGATGAATTATTTAAAGGCAGTGGAAAGCTTCCAATATTATTTGAATTTAGTAGCTTGCATTGGTCTCGTTATCATAGGAACACAACTTGCCAGTATGTGGTGGGCACAGGAAAGCAGCGTTCTGCTCACAGTGCTCTGTCTGCAGCTGTTTCCCCAACGTTCCCAATTCCAGAACCTCATGCAGGAGGAAGAAAGCACAAGGGAAGCAAAGCAGGACTTGGAGTGCCAAGAGAGCTGCAGTCACTAACACGAAGGTGGACTCCACGATGCCTAAGGGAGCTTATCTGGTCCTCCTTCAGCATCAGTCTCATCCAACTGATTGGCAAGTCTAGCACATGTCATGCTGGGCTGCCCAGCTTGCCCACAGAACATGAGAAACAGTGTGTATAAGAGGTAGCCAATCATATAATATCCTTAAAAGTACTTCGCTATATACTGCAGGTGGTATATACTGCAGGTGCTGGTGAAAATGAAGGGGAAGCCTAACCTCCAATGTTCTTCAGCACAGCTGGATAACTGTGGTGAACAATACTCAACTGATACTTCAAAATAGTTGCTAAAGAGAATTTCAAGTGTTGCCAACGCAAAGAAATGCTAACCAGCAGGTTACAGGTATACCAATTAGCTTGATCTGGTAGTACTTATATACATATGCTGGCATATCACACTGAGTTCCATAAATATGCATAATTATAGGTATCAATGAAAAAATTAGCTGTGTATGTGCATGTACATAAAGGAAACACAGGGAATTGGGGAAGTGTGGGATAGTAAACAACAAAGATAGGCTCTAGGATCAGGTACAGATCTTCTGTGGCTCTACCCTCAGGCACTGAGCTCATGGCCTCTCTGGCTTATGCCACCTCTTTGGTCAGATGAGGAGAAGAGTAATGACTTCAGGTGACTGCTGGGAGGCCCAAAGGAAGAATGCCCATTAAAGTATGTGGTAAACATGGCTTTGAATTAGCTTCTAGAAACAGGATCCATGCCACAAAAATGAGTTCCAAAAATGATGAAATGCAGAGGCAAGGATGAAAGAACATAATCATTTGGGCTCACTTAATATAAGATCAAGCACTTTGATATCTCTGAAGTCATGTTTATTATGACACCGAGTGTCTGGCAAAAGGTCACATGATAATAAGAATGCTGAATTGTTCTGAGTCCCTGTACCATGCTAGAAAGCAATGACAGCCCCTGTCTAGGAGGCTCAGATCTTCGGAAGTCCTGGGAAAGATACCGACCTGACATAAACCTCTGCCTTCCAAGCCAAGTGTGGGTATCAGACCTGCCTACCTGTCTGACACCCATGACCCTTATATCAAGACATGAAAAAGGTGATCTCAGCAGACTGCCAGAGAGTGCCTGTTTCTGGCCTCCCTCTGGCATAGGGGCTGGGAACTCAGGGGACTCCTGGTGGTGAGCTTCCCCTGATTGCGCCACACCCAAGCCCCTAACTGGGATTGCGTGAGGCCCCTCCCAAGGCCCCAGGGCAGACCTGGTTTTGGCAGGATAAGGCTGAGATCTTAGCAGACAGCTTCTGACCTCTATCTGTGTACTGTGATCTCACCAGACCACCAGAGAGTGCCTGTTTCTAGCCTCCCTATGGCATAGGGGCTGAGAACTAAGCAGACCAGCTAAGAGTTCCAAAATCAACCCCCCTTAGGGAACTTCCCAAATTTTGCTCTGAGTTCCCGCTAGTAGGGGTCCAAACCTTAGAAGGAAGCCTGAGTGTACCTGACTGGAACCTGACTTGGGCTTCTATTGGTGCTCCGAACATCAGTTCCCTCCAAAATAAAACCTGAGAGAACCTGAAACCTGGAACAACCAGCTTTATATAAACAATAAGGACCAAGGCACACCAATAATACAAACAGAAGCATACTTCAACTTAATTCTCATATCAGAATCTCAAACAACAAAAGAAATTCACATGCCAAAATCACAACGAAAAAATAATAAAATGGAAAGCCAAAACGCTATGTCCCGACCAAACTCCACAACTCCTTTAGAAGAGTTCTACAAGGAGAACCCCCTAGAGATAACCCAGGACACTGAATTTAAAAGAACAGTCATGAACATGATGAAGGAATTCAACGAATTTAAAGAACACACAAACAAATCAAAGAGCTGAAAGAAGATAGGGATAAACTTCTGAATGAATTCACAAGACATAGATAGAAACATGAAGAAAACTAAGGCAGAAATGAAGAAGAAAGTAAAAAACTCAATAAGCCAACTTGAAACACCAGGCGAAAACCTCATCATTAGAATGAATGAAATGGAAAACAGAATACCAACACTGGAGGATAAAGTTGAAGAACTGGACACTCAAGCAAAGATTATGAAATTTTTTTTTAAAAAAAAACACAAGAATGGAATATGCAAGAGATGTGGGACACCATGAAAAGACCAAATCTACACATCATAGGCACAGAGGAAGGAGAAGAATTTCAGGTTAATGGTATTGACCAGATCTAAACAGAACTGTAGGAAACAGCATATTTTAAAATGAAATGGAGATCTTCTTTAAAGGGTAAAAACTCATTCAATTTTGTAACTTACAGGGTTTATACTGAGTTCAATATTGTATAACTGTATTAATTCAATTGTGAACCTAAAAATTTACAGCCACTTTTGAAGAGTTGTATTCTTGCTCTGGAGTGTGTTACTGAATATGTTAAATCTGTAGTGAAATGCTTCTTCTAATCAAGTAGTTATTAAAAATTAAAAAAAGAATGATTAAAAATAATAATAATAATTAGTAGATGTGAAAAACATTACTATTGAAATCTACCTGATGACTTTATATCCATGCTCAGACGCCAAGGAGGTCAGAAGGTAACTGACTATGACTAGTAATAATCAGATATATAGAGATTAGAAACGCATTTGCAAACATCTTAGTGTCAATTGCATTAAAAAATGAATTTTTCTGTCTTATAGGGTTTATACTGAGCACACTATTGTATAACTGTATTAATTCAACTGTAAATCTAAAAATTTACAGCCAGTTTTGAAAGAGAGGCATCTTGGCTCTGGAAATGTTTATTGAATATATCAATGCTGTTATAATGAAATGCTTCTTCAAGTTATGTGGTTAGTAAATAAATAATTTAAAAATATAGAGGGAAGAGAGTATAGAGTGCTTTATTTCTATTTTTAAAATGCTTTTAGCATTATTCATGAAAATAAGTAGTCAACTGTATGAAATTTTGGCAGAC